CTGCTTGAAAAGGTAACTAAAACTAATCAATTACAGTTTAAAGTACTTCCTGCATCTTCTAGGTATAAATACTGTTCGCAAGAAAATACGTCATCCATTTTCCTAGCTCCTGCCACGCTGTGAACTCAGTGCTGCTTTGCCCTGCTAAAATGCCTATGCCGTATACCTTTAGAACCCACGTACCTAAAAACTATTGTATTCAACGATGATCGAAAAGTAATTTGTCTGCTGAAGAAATGATTCGATGTGAGAAAAAATAAAGATGGTGATTATTCAAGCTCAGTTTTGTTAGCTTCGTCTGCATACCTTTGCATTCGTCCATGTCTACAGTCAGAAGTACTTGGTTCCTCCTATGCATTAAAATATGACATATATATCTTTATATATATATAAGCAGCTAAAGTGTGTGTCACCGATAGTTTATTGTTGCCACTCGGAAGAATGAGCGTGGAAATCATAGTTTCCGAGGTTTTTAATTAATATCTTGGGCGATTAAAGTCGTACGGAGATGAGAACGGTATCAATGGTATCGGAGAATTTTTTGGAATCCGAGGATATGCGTCTCAAATTTCAACTCGGCGCCGTTCCGTAGATATTTGAAGGGGAAAAAAAGAATTTGGCATGTAGCCAAATCCCTGTAATAGGGAAAACTTAAGAAAGAAAGTGGAAAATGTAGGAAAAACTTAGGGCAAAATTTGTTTTTAATTAATATCTCGGCTAATTAAAATCCCAAGAAGACGCGAATGGTCACAATGGCGTGCCACGGACGTGCGGAATCCAACGGTGTGCTTCGCTAAGTCTGGGAGCCAGCCATTTCGGAGGAGATGATGATACTTCAATATATATATATATATATGTATGTGGCTTAAGTGTCTGTTTGCCGCTGATATTTTATTGGTTGCTTGCGTAACTGTACTAGCCAATGGGGTGAAGTGGCCACGGCACAGGGTTGCCGTTTCAATTGAGACGTAGACAATTTCCTGTAAAATTTGCCTTTGCCATGACCATCCATAAGTCTCAGGGCTGAACACTTAAGCGTGTTGGTATTTTTTTACCTGAGCCTGCATTTGAATACGGTCAATTTTATGTTGCCTGTTCAAGAGTTCGTGAAAGAACGGACGTAAAATAAAAATAATGGATGGTCCTCTGCAAGGCGAGCTTAAAAATGAAGGAAAGATCTGCACAAGAAATCTTGTGTACAAAGAGATCTTTGATATGTGAATTAACATTTCATTATTTAAATAACCTTTATTGATTGAGCTAGCGGTAGCTTTTAAGAAATGTATTGCCAATGCTTTCCTTCATTGCATTCTACTTTAACCAATTAAGCAAGTAGAAGGGGGAAACCCCATGGGTCAATAAGCAAATGGGCGTCCTCGCCGCCTGCCCTGGGTAATTCAGTGTAAATTAGCAGACACCTTTGCACAAATCATTTTAATTACAATTTATAATATCTAGAACAGTGGTCATTTTGTATGACCACCGGGCGTTCTAGTATATATATATATACACATACCCATGCACACACACACAATATGTAATGGGGATTACTATACAACTCATTTATAATTAGCCCTTAACTAGGAGATTGGAAATACTTGGTTGGTACAATGTTAAGCCTATGGGAGCATAACTCGCTTTTAACGAGCAAACCTCTGTTACAACAAGCAATATTTTTGTGATTTATAAACACTTCCACCTCTCCAGCGCAGCTGATACTTTCTTCAAAAAATTACTTTAATATTTTGAAGTCAGCCAAAAGTTAGTGATGAGTCATAATTTCTGCGAACACATGATGGCGGCCATTTTCAACTTGTGGCATGCATGCGTGAAGAAATCCCACGATGACCTTGAGGAAACGGACAGAATTTGCTTATTGGATGGAAGTTCACTCTGGGTAAGAGTGACAGGGTAGCGGACTTGTGTGGAGGCCATTCTTTGGTCTGCATTCATAGAGTATGCTTGTTACATTTTATCTTGGGATGTCGAAATGTAAAATTTTATTAGTTTACGAAATAAGGATTTTACAAGAGTTAGAGATTGTGTAAAATTTCTGAAATCTACAAAAAGTATGATTTACCTTTTTCTACTATTTCAACACTGTTAAAGAATGAAGAAAAATTAATGGAAAAGAGGATCTGGACGAAACTCTTTTAAAGTGGATGAAGGAGCCATGAAATGCAGATTGTCCTGTAAGTGGTCCATTTTTAAAAGTTCAAGCAGAAGAATTTGGCTATTCTAGATTTTTATGTTCAAATGGATGGCTTGATCAATTCAAGAATAGACATGGGATAACCTTTGGAAAAATTCCCAGTAAATTTCTGCAAACATGGATGAGTAAAAAGTGGTGCATTATCAGAGAAAGATAACAAAATATCACATTTATAATGCTGACGAAATGGGTCTTTTCTACAATGTAACCCCGCAGTACACATTTAAGTTGAAGGATGAAAAGTGTGTCTGAGGCCAGCTCTCCAAAAATTGATTGACTGCTTTCATATATTCTAATTATCTAGCACTAACAGTAAGAAACTGTTGGTTACTGGCATTTTAAGAATGTAAAAAAAGCTTCCTGTTTATTATGACCACAGTAAGAACGCCTAGATGACTTTAAACCTTTTCCCGGAATTGATTCCAAAATGGGGAAGGCAACTAAGGAAAGAAAACCATAAAATTTTCCTTTTAATTGATAATTGTAAAGTGCATCCCCAAATTGCTGGACTTTATATCACTATATTTCCTCACTCAGAAAGGAAAAGAAGTAGGTAATTTGGAAACGAATAGAGAAGAATTGGAAAATTATGTATCTCTTTACGTGAATGTTATCACTTCTAAGATACATACTTCTGAGGATACTATAGCTGAAATTCAAGCTAAAGCAGATGAAAAACATAATGAAAGCGTCCATGATAACAACGGATGTGAAGAATTTCAAGATGAATTCTGCCCCAACTTACTCAATGGCTTTTGAGTGCGCAAAAACAACAACAACCTTCAAACTTTTTTCAAAGCCAGAGTTGCACATGATGATGTTTTTCAGGCTATGAATCTTCTCTGAAGAACAAGAACACAAAAAGGGGATAAGATAGTTCACTGCAAATTAGCCAACTTCTTTTGCACTGTACAGAAATACAAAATAAATAATTTAAGTATATATATCACAGTCCCTTCATGATTGTTATAAGCGAGTGCTACTGAATTACTTTCTATCAGCCTCTTAGTATGCATCACATAGTTTTTTGGTGCATGATTCCGTCTTTCTTTTAATATATAAGGTGTTTAGTTGGTCACATAACCATGATTTTTGTTTTTAATGCTGCATCAAATAAGATGAGCTTTCAAACTATAACAACTTTGATAACATTATACTTTTGAGTGAAACTATATACGCGTTCCACCAGAGAAAAACAGTACCACTGAGAAAATTTTCATAACCATATTCCTTTACAAAAATACATTACTCCTCACAAGACCAAAACAGTTCAAAGATCATTAACTGAAATTTTAGAGAACAGTATATAAATACTGCTAAAGAGAGTATGCACTATAAATTAAAAAGAGATGGAAATGAATTATCACTACTTTTGATTAAAATACATTTGAAATAGACAACATCACTACTTTGTACAGCAAAGTTGATCTACATATACTAATCTTTTCCTTATTGTTTATAAGCTACACATAAGATCATCTGGAAAGTTGTGCAGTTTTTTGATGATACACACAAATGACACACCACAAAAACTTCATGTTTATTTGTGAAGATAATAGCGAGGTGCCGTTTCGACAGCCTCCAAAGGTGGACCAGGCCATTCAAAGAATTTCGAAGAGATGAAAATCCGAAAGTGGGAACAGTATCCCTTTCTTATCTGCTCAGTTAAGATGTAACCACACATTATAGCAGCTTACATATCCAATCTTCTTCATATGATCAAGCATTGCAATTTTTGAATACTTAGTCTTCCGACAATTCCTGCAATGTATAACATTGGTTTTCAGCAATAACATCTTTTAATAAGTCTTTGTTTACAGAGGATGGTCGTCCACATGGAAGATCGTCATTGAGGCTGAAATTTTCACACTTTAATTTCTCAAACCACCTTCAAATTATGTAATCAGAAATAGCATACAGGACAAATTTTACAGGAAGTCTGACTAGCATTTTTTCTATTTTAAAATAAAAGAATGTAATATGGTGAACTTTTGAGTACTCCATTATTAGCACTGCACTAAAACAAAAATGTCATGCCAGAACATATGCTAGAATAATGTGGTAAGAAAATAATTAAAAGAAAATGCCCTTCAATTTGAAAAACTGTAGAACTTTCCTGATCACCCTATATTTGCCAAATATTATATACCAGTTTACATTCTGTATTAGAATTTTGTTACAATTTACATTTATATAAGTTTATTTTAAAGCACTTTAAACAAATACTTGCACTGCATTAGTTTTCATGCTATCTAAACAAAGTAGATGATATAACAAAAGAAACCCAGCCAACATCTAATTTTTTTCTTTTTATATGGGAGCAGAGACTCAAACAATTTTAGATATATTACTAAATAAGAACAGATAAGATTATATATTTGTACTAAATCCTTTTGTGTAATATTAACAGCTTATCATCTTAGACTTAAAGATTAATTTTTAAGACAGTCAAAGTTTAAACATTACAAAGCTAATTATAGTAACTTCCATATTAAGGTTTTAAATTATTTGATTTTAACATTACTATTAAAATTACTCAGCAACAATTTGGTTTTCATGAAAATTAAAATACAGTAAATATAATAAATATAGTTTAAGCTATAAAAAATTTAATTAATTGATGCTATACTTCTAAATGCAGCAGAAAACTAATTCCTCAGCAACATGAAGAGTTAGAATTTACTATTTTATTCTCATATCAAGAGTATAGAAACACATGAAATAGAATTAACTTTACCCAATGTCTCTCTATAAAGAAAGAAATTACATTATTATGAATATTACTTACACAAATGTTTTGTACTTCAGACACATTATGCCGATAAAAAAATCACAGTGCTTTGGGATAGGTATTTTGTCGAGGGGCTCATAACTCTGTAACAGAAACAAAAATAGGATGGATTTTAATAATTTAGGTACACCCTTACCAGTTTAGATAGAATAAGTAAAAGCACAAAATAATATTCAATTATATATATATATATAATAATAATTGTCTAAAGCTTCTCGTAATATATTTCTAATTTAAGAAAGCTGATCAAGACGTGCAAGTTCAGGGAAGAAGAATTACCTCTTTGAAACACTGTACACAGTTAGAATCTTCTAAAATGCTGCTTGTGATGCATTTTACAATTTCAAGTGGCACACCTCTCAGTTCTTTCCTCAGAAGTGATTCATTAGTTATTACGTGTAGTAATCCATCAAGTACATACTGTATTTCTTTCATATCCTTAGGCATAAAATGAAATAAACAATCATATTTTATGGGTACATACATACACAAAAGGCTATTTTTCTGAAAATTAAAAAACATAAATCTTAATAATTATATAACACTTTTATATATTAGTATATTTAAATATATTGCAAGCTAGATACTATTCATATGAAAATACTAATAATAATTAAGTGCAGGCACTAATTCTTAAATGCAAATTGTGTAAAAATATTCATATGAAATAATTTATTTGTATTTTTTATAAAAATAATAAAATAATTCTGCATTAATAATTTTTTCCTTTTTGTTTTCAAAGAGCCCCTAATACAACCTATGTTATCCTTGAGTTTTTGTGCAGACCTATTTAAGGATGTCACTCTTTCACCGCACGAAATAAATGAATAAATCAATAAAGAAAATTGCAATGACGGACAGTGCACATCGCAAATATATTATATTTCTTTGACAAAATAACACATGAAAAATTATCTCTGATTTCTGAAAAGCACATGAGTATTTTACTTGTTTTCGCAGACATAACTAAGATAAAAGATTACAAACCCTTAAACAACTTCTCAAAGCATGTGAAACTCACACCATTCAGTGACAGTCTGAAATGCAAAGAACAACTTTGATCATGCTCAGTGCTTATCAGCTGATGTGCACCAAATAACCTAACAGCTGAAGATCACAGGAAAAATGAAATATCACATTTTCAGACACATTTGCTCTCTCACACATAATGATAGCCAGCCATTGATAAAACAGCATTAATATTTTTTTCAGCTACAGATAATCTAGTAAAAAAAAAAACAAGTTATTTAGGAGTACAGTTTTGAGAGTCGACATGTGTAGAAATCTTTTGAAAATATAATTTTGTTTTCTTTCTCAAAATTCTTAGTGCATGATCACATTTATCTGGTCATGACATTATGCAGTTTCATTACAGTTCTTTCAAGTAAATCCAAAAAGCTGGGCCATTCAGATGATTAAACAGATTTCAGATTTTTTACAGATAATTTTTTTTTTACTAACTTTTACTTTTTACAGAACTAACTATGGAACTTAATATCACAGAATTTCAACTACTGCACTAATGGATAGAACAGCAAATAATCTTAATATATTCCTGCATAAAGAAATCTGAGTTTCATTACTGTCTTGAAATTTTTGCAGGTGATAAATCTTCTTTTAAAAAATAATTGTTACATATATTTTATAAGGTATTTCTCCTGCCTTTTTAGCATGCCTTCATGGTGTAGTGGTCAGAACACTCGGCGCGTACTTGAGAGGACCGTAGTTCGAGTCCTGGCAAGGGCATTGCTAATTTTTCACATCTCCAGCATCGAAATAACCTAATGAATCTACAGTGGTGCCCGAACTAAAATGGTAGTGCATGATGACTCTCTACCAGCAGGATTTGGTGACTGGATTCCCTAAAACCCCAGTTGCCCTTTAAAAGGGAGGAGTATATACAGGGTTCGTATACATTTCTGCAGATGGAAATTAAGTACTTATAAGGACCATTAATGGAAAAAATTAAGGACCTATGAGCAAATGGGAACTGAATAAATTCAATTAAAAATATTATCTATGCCTGAAATTCCCTTTTGTAATACTATCCTAAAAATAAAATAGATCCACAAGTAGGATGCTTTATTATTAAACATAACGTAATTAACATAATTATTAATAAGTTTGAGAATAAAATAAAATTTATGAAGTAGCATTAAATATTTTATACTTATAATAATTGGACATATTTGAAAGATAAGTGACACTTTATTTAGGCTTTACTAACAGTTTGCTTTGTGATTTTTTTTTTTTTTTTAAATGTCTCATTTTGTCGCACACTTACTCGGTCTAGAGGTTTTGAAAATAGTAAGTAGATTTAATGTCAAGCGGGACAGGTTAAAATGAGAACTAAAATCATAATCAGCATGATTCAAAATAAAAGACTGGCTGTTGTCACCACTCCTGCTTGCCTAGAGACCTGCTGATCAGAACAAACCTGAAAGGACTGATATAAGCACGGTTGGCAAGTTTTGAAAGTTAGCTGGGCTCTTGTCTGACGATTTAGCTTCGCGTAGAGTTCCAGGGGTGTAACTCAGTTAATATACTTTAAGGTTCTAATAATTCACTAAAGTACCAAAAGTGATAAGTTGTTTTGCATTATTTTAAGTCTCACTAGATGCAAAGAATAAGTTTTACATGAATATTTACATTTTTTGTGTTTTATCTTGTGACCACGGTAAGGGTTAATGAAAGGCAATAACCTGCTTTAATATGCAGAGATAATTTTTAAGGGTAAGCAGTTAGTTATAAGCAATTAAATTAGGTATTATATAACCTTAGTCATTATGGATTTACATGGCCACTATTAAATATTACTTATTTTTTAACAAAATTTGTTAAAGAAAGCCCTATTAAAATCACAATCTAATAAAATTTCACAGTTTAAAACATATGCAATTTATGACATTGATTCTTAAACGATATTAGGATAATTACACATTAAAAGATACAAACCATTTATGTTTTGTAGCAACAACACTCAACAAAATATTTATGCATCTTTTTAATTTGAAGCCTTCCCAGACATTTTGGCAATTTATATAGATTTCCTTCTCTTTAAGCATCTTTTCCATCAATTAGAAATTTTTCTCAGTATGGGGGAAAAAATCTTACTAGTTTCTGAGTGTTTTATCTCCTAACCTGCCAACTTCGCCTCAATGTACCTATGAGGGTTTTACTTCAGCTGGTAAAAGTTAAATAGTCCAAAAACCCTCCAACAGATGTGAAGCAAATTATTGCTATGTCTGAAAGTAACTACAAAGCCAGACAGGTTTAAATAAACTTCTTATTTAAAAAGAACATAAAGATATGTTCTTAGAATAACAAAGTCAATTACAGCTTGTGGTGATGTAATTAAATAAGAAGACTCAAATTCAAACTGAAAATATGGACTAGTGGTCAATTTAATTTCACTTTATAGTAAAGGCTAAAATTGTAAACAACTGGGAAATTTACATAGTAATAACTGTACATATCTTTGAAAAGCAATTTTCATTCTCTTTATGTATTCGGTTTCTTTCTTCCACGTTTCCTTTTCATTTTAGAATTTTTGGATTTAATTAAAGATTTCTGTTATTCTAAAAAAACTAAATGTATAGAAAAAGCTGCTAATTTTATTTCTCTACTAGTATGGAAATTCAGAAGAAATATGAAATATATATGGTAAGGTCTAGTTACAGAGTTGGTGTGGCATAATTTTTAGAATTTTGTGACACACCGAGCAACAAAATCTAGAAATGGGAAAACTTTTAGAATTTAGAACAGGCATTAGAAGCAGAATTTAGAAAGGCACTAAGCAGCAGAATTTAGGATCCACAGAAATTGCATCAGGTGGGAAAATGCCTAGTGCCAGCTCTCTGTACGATGCATTAAAACATATTAGATATCTTTTAAATTGTCAGTTTTCAATTTCTTTATTAATAAAAACCTTCTTTTATATAATGCCTGTCCATATGATAAGATTAGAAGCATTTTTTTATATTTTCCATGCTTGTGTCTAGTGAAAAGTAGAGAAAATAAAGGGAAGATAAAAATTTTAAGAAAACGATTCTAGTATCAGAAGTAAAACATTCAAATATTATGTTCTCATTATTTTTCCAGACGTTCTCCAAATAATAAGAAATTCATCACAAACGTTCTGTAAAAACATCCATTACGTATGGAGACATTTTTTATTTTGTCATATTTTTCTGGAATCTTCTAGAATTGTGGGTCTATAAATCTTGCCTTCAAATCTTTCTAAACTTTTCAAGCTGCAATGCCTAAAATCCTAAAGAAAAATTACCCCTACTAATTCTATAACACCAAAAAGACAGAAATATTTTTTGGGGAAAAACAGAGGGGAAAAAAGTATAAAATTAATTTTACAGATAAAAATGATGCATATTCTCAGAATTCTGAATATTCTGAGACAATTACATGTGAAAAACTTTTTATGGACAAATAAAAAAGAAGACATTTTTAATTAATTACATGGCTATTTTTCATTTGCTAAGAGCTGTTTCGTAAATTGTGTATAGCATTATACCTTGTTTATTTTTCAGATTCAAAATATTATATAATAAGTGGCAAAAATGGAACTTTCTATAATATGACAGAGAAAAATAAAATGTTTTATTTTAATCTTATTTTTTAAATATAATTTCAATACATCACCATTATTTTAGTGAAATTTATCGATAATACGTTTTAAAAAAATCGTTGAAAAATTCCCAGATCTCGGAATCAAAAATTTTATATAAAAACTTATCCTAAAATCACCAAAAAGCAAAAAGTTGTTCAAGAGCTCTTTATTAGAAAAAATGATCTGATTTCGAAATGCTTACGTTTCACTTCTTGCTCAGAAACTCGAGTATCCCACTCGAGTACTCGAGTATATTAGAAATAGGAACAAATTATAACCCATTCAAAAGATAACCATATTTGTCATTGAATCACCAAAAATATTCCTCCAAAATGCTAATTCACACTCTAAATGGCAATCGTAAAAACAGACACAAATTTCAGACGATTAAAATTAAAGACCTTCTGCTAATTTTGGCTGATATTAAGGACTTTTAAGGACCAAAAATCAATTCCAAAAAAACCTAAGGACTTTTAAGGACAGTACGAACTCAACTGCATGTAGTTTTACTGTTTAATAGTCTCAGGCAGGAATCAAGTGCCTGAGTTCTGAAGCTGCAGTTCCTGCTTCTTTGAATATAGACTCTAAACTTTCGATATAACTGTCAAAGCCTACACTGATGAAAATTGTGATGGGGGGTTGCAGCATGTTTCAAAATAAATTGAACATCCTTCCAATTTACTTATTTTTTTTTTTTTTTTTGGTGCTTACGTATTCTTGCAACCACCTTAATAGAAGTCACTAAAATACCAGAACATGCCAAGCTCTCATACACATGCACATAAGTGTTCTTTAGGCAAGTAACATTGTACAGTACAAAGTCTGTAATCCGGATGTCCATTATCCAGAATGACCTATAATTCGGACCTCAAAGCCACAATTTTTTTTTTTTTTTTGTGTGCTTTACGCATGCGCGCCAATTGTCAAGCAGCATCGTTGTCAATCATTTTAGATCAATCAAATATGCACAATAATAATATGTATAGAATATGCACAATAGTAATATGTATAGAATATGTGCAATAATAATATGTATAGAATATGCACAATAATAATATGTATAGAAAAATAATCAATATGTTTATAGTGACACAGTTTCTTGGTACTTGAAATCAGAGAAAGTGGCGGCTCAAATGCAGCAGATGATACATATATCCGCTAAAATCATGACTGAAATACGTTGACTCACCGGAATGCAGCACAACGCTTGAAATCGGAGGTGAAATGTCTTACTTGCATCTCATCACACTGGATAACTTACTGTTGCTCAGAATTTTGATATTTAAACTCGATATTCGTGCAACATTGAAGCACTCCCTCGTGCATGAGTGTGAATGAAGTCTTCTGTTAGGCCAAGTGCACATGAACGTATAACCCAAGCATCTGCTAATACACGTTTATGAGAAAATGGACTTGGCCAGCAAATGTTCGTGTCTCAGAATCTAAAATGTATTCTGTGTCCATTACAGTATATTCTGTGAATTCTTTTAAGGAGCCTATAGCATGAAAAGGTGTTCTCCAGTATTGCTGATTTGAGACATCAGCAGTTTGAAGAGTGCAAAGATCAATTAGGTAGATTGGGTTTGTTACTCTGTGACAAACACATATTTGTCCTACATTTCCTAAGACCCGTGCTAAGGAAATAGATAAGCACACCACATCATTCTTGCACACTGGAACTATTTCTACTGAAAATGTAAATTTATAATCATAAGTGTTGTTGTGAACATCGTGAGAAATTAATTGCTGTGAAGTCTCGTACTTGCAAGGTACAACTGTAGTAAAAAGTAGTAAAGTAAGTGATTGGAATAATAATTTGAGGTATCATTATGTTGGTTTAGAGGTGTATCGGATAGTGAAGAAAGTGACAGAGTGGTTTCCGATAGTGAAGAAAGTGACAGAGAGGTTATTGAAAATGAAAACATTTCGATTGACAAGTTAGTTGGTATTCTCGACACAGCAATTACAGGACTTGAACAGTAGAACTTTGTAACTGAACAAGAAATTATGTCTGTTTATAGAATTAAAGAGAAAGGAAAAAGGAAGCAACTTAAACAACTTACATTGAAAGAAATGTTTGATAAAGTAAACAAATCAATATTAAGCTCTTCTTCTTCTTCTTCTTCTTTTTTTTTTTTTTAAATGTTGATACCCTTTAAATCATAATTGCTCTTTTTCATATTTTTAAGTGTATAATTTCTGCATGCTATCTTATCAGATTTAAATTGATGATCTATAATCCGGAATCATAAAAGTCCCGATGAGTATGGATTACGGACTTTGTACTGTATATGTGTTCCATCTGTTCCAGGTTCAAATGGTTTTTATAAACAAACTGTGATACTTAAATTACTGAAGTATGCTTCTTTTCTATGTTGATAGCTTACAATAAATATTGATAGTTTGGAGATCCTTTTAAAAAAGTTACGAAGACCGCCAAATTGAACCCGACAAGTGACTTTGCAAAAAACTGTCAAATTGCACCAGGGATGTTGCATTAATATGCACCGTTTTTCATGCCAAATTCTTAATCAACAAACAGTAGTATTATCTTTTTGTCACATGTAATCAATCTATTTAAAATGACATACCATGTATTACATAAATGGTTAAAAGTCATACACACAGTTCTTATATAAAGGAAAACACAGATTATATTAAGTTTAATTATCTAAATCAGTGGTATTCAAACTATGGGTGTGGGTAAAACTTATAGTGGGGGCACAAAAAGGATAAAAATCCTAAAAAATATGAATTTATCATATATAACAAGCATGGCCAAACTTGCAGTTCTTTGATACCTTAACTGCAGCTCGTGAGATAGTTGTGGCCCTCTGAAATGTGATTTGTTTTCAATAAATACTGGCTTATTATTATTTTTTTTAAATACAAATAGAATCTGAAATATAAATCATGCAATGACGTTTCTTTATTAGCCGGCAATTTAATTTCTTATACTTGTAAGTAATAATTTAGCTGATCTCAAACTGCACACCACGAGCTTATCGTCAGAGTAACAAATAACAAAACACTTGATTTAAAAAAAAAAAAAAAGTATTTCCTTTGGACTTAACTTTTCTGAACATAAAGCAGTAGATTTAAGATGCAATTTATTCATATTTATATGTAATCATGTTAATCACATATAAAATAGGAAATTTTCACCAATTTACTTCAAAAGTCTCTTTATATTCAAAACTTCTCTAATTATTTATGAAATGATATTAATTTTGAACTGCGATTCTCGAACGTTCATGAAATCTAGCATGTGGCTTTGATCGCCTAAAAGTTTGGCCTCTGCTGGTATATAATTGAGGACTGATGCTCTGGTTGGAGTTGCAGAATCGTATTTTCGTGTCAGTTGCAGTTTTATAGGGTCTTACTGCTATCCTAGTAAGTTTGAATACCTCTGCTCTAATTGACAAAAGAAAAATAAGAAAAAATAAGCAATCATACCGCTGCAGGCATTTTTTTAAAGAAATTCTCATCATTTAGACACCCAAGAATTTTATGCAAGAATGCAGGTACTGGTTCTAATAAAATAGTATTACCATCTTCTTTCAAATAAAGATATTCTCCTTCTGAAATATGCTTAAACAAGAATTTGCAGATAGGTAAAAGAAAATGAGGTCCTAATTCTAAAAAATAAAAAGACTTGTCAAACAAGAAGTAAAAGCATTCCAGTGAATTAAAACACTTAATTGAAAACATCTCTTAAAAATTAACAATTTATAAGACACAAATTTTTAACAGACATTTCAACATATTTTTAAAAATACTGAATGGCAAAGAGTAATCATGTCAGTTGCTGTGAAGGACTGCTAAAGATGTATGGATATCACAGGTAATAGCTCTTCGAATGACAATGCTAGGTTTAACCCCTTCACGCCGACATGATGCTGAACAAAAAACCATCTGCAGATGGGTGTATCATATATGCAATCAGCCCCAAATATCACTAGCACGATCACCCCAAATATCACTCATATGCACCAAAGCATCACCACTTGCTTTGATCTTTTAGACAGATGGGTTTGTCATAAATCCACTCTCAGAACATACACATTCTTTTAGAATTTTTTTAAAATCACTAGATGGCAATCCGTGTCCACCACAGTTAGCTTATTTGAACATATACACCGTTGACCTTGTGTTCGTCAACTACTTTCTGATTCTGGTGATTCATTTAGATGCATGAGCAGATGATATAATATAAGCAAAACCCAGCTGACTTGCAGTTGGCTTCACGTGATATTAAACAGTTTCTGATGCTCCAAAAAAATTTTTTTTTCCCTAAGGGAAGACTAGGAGTGGTTTTAGGAACTCTGGTTTGTATTCAGTTCACATCTTTTTTAGATAGCAGATGTAAGTTTTTTGCACTGGGTAAGAGAGTTAAACTAATAGTGCAATGTCTAAGATTAAAAAGTTTTTAATTGAAGAAGAATATATTCAAATTGTTTGACACCGAAAATCCTACATTTAAGCGAGAACAGCGATTTTGATATGGAAATTTTCTCAGAGACCGAATTCAAAGTATGTTTTGCTTTCACCTCACACAATCCAGCAGAACAGTGGCTATTCTGTCATGAACTCAATCTCTTAAGTAACCTTATGAATTTACGGGAATTGCAGAAGTAAACTTAATTCAAAGTTATGCGAACAAAACTGATTTTTCCATCATTTTTTTCAATAATCTAATGAACATAATAGTTAAAGAAACTAATAATTTCTATGAACAAAAGATGAGTGAAAATCCATCTTCATCCTAAATCAACATATTCCTCTAGATGTACCTAAAATGAGGGGTCTGCTAGTATTAATTATTCTGATGGGATGGAATTAAAAAGTTAGAACTGAAAATGTGTTCCATAACTAATGAAGTGATTAGTGAGTAGATTATCACACACTCCTTTCTGAATCATCTATGCAAGTGGCTCTCAACCTTTTAACTAACATGTACCATCTAAATAAAACTTGAAAAATTTTAGTACCACCACTACGTTTTACAATGATTATTTTTCAATTTCTCAATAGAAATATTTAAAAAAAAAAAAAAAAAAAAAAAAAAAAAAAAAACTATATTTTGCCATTTGCACAACCTATTGGCTATTTGTATTAAATATGTACACATAAAAAATTAGATTAAAAATTGGTTCCCATTTTAATTATCAAAATTCAAGTTATAATACTTAAATTCTAAAATCTGGTGTGAAATTTGGGTCTGTTAACAGAGATCAAGTTCTATATGTCTGGTCTTATTTCACTTTACTTTAACTGTAAATTAGGATCCACTTTTAATTTCACTGTGTATTTATTTTTCAAATATAACATGGAAGAAAATCCTTGTTCACCTAAATAGATTGTGCAAAAAGGTAATAAAAATTTGATAGCTTTATTTGAAATACCTTTAAATTCTTTTTTTTTTTTTCTGGTTCAACCAAAAGTAAACAAGTGTGTTATTTTTAAAATCTTCTGTTAGAGTTCGATCACAGTAAATTTCTATCAATTGTTCTTTTTGTTAATGAGATTTTTTGAATTTAATTAATAAAGATATTTGTTTCTTTGTGTACCACCTATTTTTCTCTTGTATACCACCGGTTAAGAATTCATGATCTATGCCATAACATTTGATTATATAATTTATTATATTTTACGTATGTTTAGATATATATTTAAGCAAATTTTTTACAACATTTCATCAAGATGAGTCAAATATTTTATTTTGCATTTATATTTTAATTAAACTTTTTTCAGACTCTCTTGATATTCTGTATTTATGATTATAATATTGTTTGATTCCATTGCAGAAAAAAAAAAAAAAAAAAAAAAAAAAAAAAAAAAAAAAAATAATAATAATAATAATAATAATGATGATGATTTCCCCCCCCCTTTAAAGTTAAGCTTAGCAATGTGAAATATTTCAATCTTTCAAGCTCGTACTACTGCAACAACACACCGTCTCCAAGTTGAGTTCCGCTAAGCAGCATGCTATTGCGTAAGAGGATTAACTTTTGATGTGTATAAGATACATCCATCATGAAGCGGTTAATAAACGTATGCCATTCCATAATGATCTGGGGTAGCCATTATTGGCAGCTTCATCCAATACAAATTCTCTGATTAGTTGAGCAAATGAAAATCACAAATTATAAATGGAATATATTTCAAACTCACAGCTCCTCAGTGAAAAAGATACCAGTGAATTAAACCTTGTGCTCTTGGAATAATCCAAGTAATGTTACACATTCAGAAGATGTTACTTGCATGCGCTGGTTATCTCTGCATTATGTGTTCCTATTTTTAGAATTTTAGATCTGTTTGTCTGAAAATAATAATAAAAAAAGGACCTTTGTACAACTTGGGCCAACAAGAGTGAAACTAGTGTTTATGCTTTTCCCGACGTTTAACAGGGCCAGTTTCCTTTAGTAAGTCTACTAGTAATTTTCCGCAAGCTCCTCTGACCACCCTCAGGTGAGCTATACTGCTTATGCTGGGAAGTAAGTATCATTATCCCAAGTATCATCTAATTTAAGAAGTTCAAGAATTTCTTTTATGTGAAGCAATTAAGCTATTCCTATATTCACACAATTATATTCATTTTTAATATTCAGCAAATATACTCAATGTCAGTAAAAAATTAAAATAAAAACATTCACGAGAAAAAAACTGTTTTATGCATCAGTGCAATGAAAAGATTCAAAAGCAAGTTTAAACAATAAAAATTTACAGGTGGAATAGAATTTTAGTTATTTGAAAATATCACACAGAGTAATAAAGCAAGAGTTAATCGAAAAAAAACTTATTAATATACAAATAACATACCCGCAAAACTTTTCGCAAAGCTTTCTTGATCCCTACATGGCAGTGGCATAAATAGGGGTATGCAAGGAATGCAGTCGCATAAGGGCCCGAAGGCTTAGGGGGCCCATGAATATCTTGCTGATCTACATTTACACATTTAAACTTAAAACACATATAAAAATCATGTATTCGAGTAGTTTAGTGTACCAAAAAGTTTTCTTAAAAGAAAGAGAGGAACTTTATCATACACATTTTCTACAAAAATTGTATGTTCAAATAGATTTCTTTATGAAATTTATAAATATGTTTTATATTTAACAAATGTATCATTTAAATTATAAACGTTCTTATTTATGACTTGCATATTATTGCATAAGTCATGTTAAGCTCAGTTGATCACAGAGCGCTATATATTAGTGTAATTTCTTTTTTGTACGTTTACCTATCATGTTGTCTGTCAGTTTATAACATAACCAGTTATTTACTAGCTTGCTAAATTAAGCGAAAAAAAAACTTGGATTGGTGCAGATTTTATATAGAAACTCAAAATATACTTGCATGTAAAACCTACTGGATTTTATTTAAAAATCTCCGCAAATCTAGACTTTCTTTCCTCCTTTTTTTTAAGCACAGTAAATTAATTTTTTTTTGGGGGGGGGCAGGAAATTTTTTTGCACAGGGGCCCAAGAGTTCTAGCTAAGCCACTATTACATGGGTACATATTTTAGGGTCGTAATTATATTTAGTAAGTGGGAAAATAAACTATCACTTCTATATCTCATTTTTTGATGTATTTACTTGTAACTTGAATGCTAAAAATGCAATTCTAGTTCCATACTTATGGCATTATCCCCCCCAAAAAAGAGTACACATTTGCTCATATATTTGGAAAGACTTCTTCTTCTAGTAATATTCAATACCTGCTTTTACTTGCTGAAATCAACATCTAAAATAACATAACGTGTGTGTGATTATGGCAAAGCCTCGAGGGCTATCTGCCTGAGGGATGCCTTCGTGGAGAACTTTCTAAGGGAAACTGGTTCCTATACACTTACACATGGGGAAAACCATGAAAAGGCCTACGCAGCCAGCCCATTCATGGGATTTGAACCTCGGACCGAACTACCAGTGTTCAGCGAATTTACCGCTCAGCCACTGGTGGGTCTAAAATAACATAAAAAATTTCACATTTAAATTTGCATTTCTGCAGCTGCAAATACATTATACATTGCAAAATTTCTTCTAGTGCTTTCTTTTGCAAGATGGGGAAGGGGAGGGTTCAGGAGGAAAGTAACATGCCTAAAACACTTTCTCACCTTTTCAGAGCTATTTATGATTTAAAAGAAATTTATAATCACACAAAAATTTTTAAATCATTTTGAAAGTTAATTTTTTTTTAAACAATTAAGACAAAATACAACTCAAATCCATAAACTTAATCTGATGAATGCATACATGCAGCTAAGCCATTTAGAGGCTTAACATGTATAAACAAAAAAGGAATCTTCATTTAACAATACTTTTCCGTTTTGACGGTGCAGGCGATACAATTGCCAGAAATGGTACAACCTGATGCCAAACAGAATATCCTCGCCTATTACGCCTCATTTTCAAAACAAGTCGCAGCCATTTCTTATCAGATTGATTGTTTCTTTCAATACTGGCATACAATTACATAGAATTTTTACCCAGATAGTTCAATTTACACATTTAACCAGATAGTTCAATTTTATGCCCTAAGGCCATTCACAGTAATTAAGTCAATTAGGAAGCAATCATATTGCTCATCCGAAGGAGAAAATATAGAAAAGGCAAAGGTCAAGGGTTAAATTCGATTCTAATGAGAATGCACTAGCGAAGTAAAGCACGGCGGTTTTACATAATTTCTGAGTAAGCTATTCGTACTTACCCCAAGCTTACTTTCTGAGTAAGCTTGGGGTCACATGATATGAAAAGGCGAATTAGGATATTGAACCATGAAAGCATAGTAAATTATTAATGTCTTTTTACAATTTATTGTTTTTTTACAAAATTTTAAATGATATTAAAATGGTTATGCCTTCAAAATAAAAAATTCTTAGAACTAACATTTGTTAACATTTTTTATGTGTATACTGTATGTTGTCGCCAATAAAGTCTGCTTGGCGAGATGTGCGCCGGCGAAATGGAAAAGTACCGATTTAACAAGTTCAAATATGAAACTTTTATTTTATAAATAAGGGGTATTCAAATGAAAAGGAACGAAACGTAACAACCAAGCCGGTTGAAATTTGAATACTCTGGTATAACATAATGAGACATCTAAGGATGCAAATGTAGCGTCTGATGTGGTTGTGCACAGTGCAAGTGCCCACACATGACACCGGAGTGAAGCTGGCAGTTATGTGTTCCGTCCAATTGATGCAGCAGTGTGTGTGATGACATCTTGGCATTCACATTGCAAAATTCGACGACTGAGGAGCAGCAAGATGTTATCAGATTTCTGAGTGTGGAAGGGGTTAAATCGGCCGATATTCATCACTGAAGCAGACTATTATACGTATACAGAGCAGACTGCATCTGACAAGTCAGTGAAAAAGTGGAATTGCAGTTTTCGTGAAGGCTTGGAGTGTTTGAGTGATGACCCAAGGCTAGGCAAAAACGGTAATCACGGCCAAATTCATGGACAAGGTGAATAATTTGGTGAGAAATGACATCTCAAAGGGAAGTGTTTCAACTCAGACGACGAGCTGTAGGACACAGTGGAGGACTAGCTCCTGTCACAGCTACAGGAATTCTGGGAAGAGGGAATCCTTCGGCTCATGAAACAGTGGGTTGGTTGGTTGACTTTTAATGGCACAAAACCTTAAAGGTTATTATGTGCCAGACGAATGGTGAATAAAATCAAAAATGTACAAACACACTGTATCAGATGAATTGTTGAAATGAACCTGTAATGCTGATGAAGGCATGGAGAAATGACTTTGAGAAATGCTCTAGCAACAGGTAGAGAAGGATAAAAGGAAAAAAAACTTCAAATCATATGGTAAAAAGGAGATGTCTTTTAAAAATTTTATGAGGTTTTCTTTCAATGAGATCTGTTAAGTTAACATTCAAAGAGTTAAAATGATATTCACATTTCTGACTAAAAGCAGGACAGCGGGTTAAAATGTGATTGACTGAAATGGGAGCGTTGCAAGTGCCACAAATAGACTCATTATATCCTTTCAAGAGATATTGATGTGTCAGTCTGCAGTGACCAATTCGTAGGCGAGTCAGGAGTATATCCTCCTTGATTCCCTCTCGAATCCCAATACTCCAAATTAGGTTTTACCTGTCTTAATTTGTTCAAAGTCTGGCATTCCCAGAGTTCTTGCCACCTGGGCAAGATCTTTGTTCCGATGTAATTTTGTATGTTTGTAAAAGGGACATCATTTTCAGAGGTAATATCAGCAAATTTTGCTGCAACATTGGCGAGTTCATTGCCTTTGATGCCAGCATGTCCAGGCACGCAGCAGTACGCAACAGAATAACCTGCATTTCTCAAACCGAGGTGTGCCTTTAAAATTTCTAAGACAAAAGGGTGGTTAGTATTTGTATTTATTGATTCAAGAGCACTCAGAGTAGATGATGAACTTTCTGCTTAGAGATAAAGACTGAGGAATTCAAAATGGTAAGTTTCTGCAGTAAAGACAGATGCAATCTTATGAAGTTTACTACTCTTGATTTCCTTATCACAAACAAAAGCTGCCTCGACATGATCATGATTCTTTGAGCCATCAGTAAAAATCGCTTTATAGTTAGAATGACTGCTTCTATGCTCTAGGAAAATTTATTGATATTGGACGTCATTGGTACTGCTCTTCTTAAGTTCTCCAAAAACGTTAAGTAGGTGAATATTCTTGCCAGGGAGCAATACTTAAAAAGTTAAAGCTTTTGGGATGCAGATCTTTTAGGTTGAATTCTTCAATCAGTGAATTTGAAGATCAAAAGGTGGTATACATGAAGGACGTGCTTGGCAGAACTGATCAGATGTCATGAGTCGGACAGGATGTTCAGCTTGTGACATTACTTTATAATGAAGATCAATGAGCAACTGCTTGCATCTGAATACCAGAGATGGTTCAAAACAGATGATATATAAACTTTGCACTGGAGATGTTCTGAAAGCTCCACAGCAAATCTGCAGCACTTGATGGTGGACTGGATCCAATTTCAGTAGCACAGAAGGTCTCGTGAAACAGAGGAATAATTGTGCACAGGCCTTTGGTGATTACTTGTGAATACAGGATTCATTATATCTATAGTGTTGTTTCATACATTTTCATTTGAACACCCCTAATATGTAGCAATTTATATAAACATTAAAATAGTAATTAAATTAATCTTCTGCTTATAAAGAAAAGTTTTACTATACCTAATTCAAGAATTGTTTTGGTGAATTTAAAAAAGGCTCTTGATTCTTTATCAACAAATCCTACAACTGTCATATCAGCAGCTACATGAATTAAACCCTACAATAAAATTGATTACTGAGTAAATGTTACATGAAGCAAACATGACAAAAAGCAACAACATTTATGATAGAGTATAATTCATTACATTTCCTGTGTCAAATATTTGCGTTTAGGATGTTATTACAAGATAATCATATAACAAAATCTCAACATGTCAAAGGTTTGCAGAAATGGGGAGGAATTCAAGATAATCAAAGCTCAAAATTTTATGAAAAACCAGATAAAACTAGCACTGTGTCTCAATTAAATTAAAGAATAGTATTATTAGTGCCTTGAAATGTTGTATTACATAATAAATAAATTAGACTGCTATTAAGTAATTAATACTAATAAAAATTTACATCATCAAATTGTATTAAATAAATATGTTCCAATAACTATATAAATTATCTGATAATTCTGACTTAGATTTCAAGGTTGGGTTTCATCCAGGATCTTCCTTCCATGGAACCGTTAAAGGAGATAATTTTACTAAAAATATTCTAATTTACTTGTTTTGTTATGCCTGTAATAAAATCGAAATAATTAAATACCCTCCCCTCAAAAGAAAAAAATCCAGTAACAATTGAGGTGGAATTTTATTAATTTACTGATGTGTAAAACCTAAATTCTGAACAAGAAACAGCAAGGATCTGGATAATAAGAAAAAGTAGCAATCTATTACCTTCTCTGGCACACAATTTCTAAAATTTTACATGTAATATTACTGAAATACTTTTAAACTTTTCTACAAGCTCTGACAGATTAGAGTGGAATTTCTCTTCTTTTGATTTATCTATTCAAAATTACTAAAAAGATAATTTCATGTAACAGAAAAATAAAGTTCTGTTTCTGTATTGATGATGACATAAACTCAATTTTGTTTTCAGTCTTTTCTGAATAAATATGTTATTTTTCTATTTTTGTGACTGTTAAAAATGGCTTCTGGTTGATTTTCTCCACCATGACAGAAATTTGTCAACCTTGTTAAAATATGCAATTTCCAAAATCTTAGGTTACCTTGATGCCATTTGTAATACAATAATGGAAAGAAGGATTGAGTCACTTTTGAAATTTTAAATGAATTATGCAATGTAGATGAGCTTAAAATTTATACATTCAAAATTACAAAATAGGTTAGTGTATGAAACAGCAAAAAATGTTATGTTTTACTATACAAAGGAGACCCCCCCCCCCAAAAAAAAAAAAAAAAAAAAAAAAAAAACAGAATGGGGATATGACAAATTTAAGCAAACAAAAGACTTGAAGAGAAAATATGAAAGTTGAAAGAAAGGCTAAAGGAAAGTTGCTTTTCTTTCAACAGGGGGGGGGAAGGTTAGAAACAGTTTGTGTTTAATTAGGACCAATTTACAGCAGATGCTCAAACGAGCGACCACTAACACAAGCACATACTTCACACCATCGATGCCAAGCATGCCTTACATCTTCAGCAGATAACCAGATGTCATCTTCAACAGCAACAGACAGTCTGACAATAAGATCTTGTTTGGAGTCAATGGAAGTATCATAACTCAGTGTTTTTGAAATGCATGCACAAGAAGAAATCCAAACTTAGCCAATCTAATGATCATGGTTGCCAACGAACAAGTCCACCCCAAAGTATTGAGTGGTTCGCATATGTGGCACCAAGACTGACAAATGGCCTTGAAGTAGCTCTTTTAAATTAAGACCAGAGCAGTGAAAGACTCACTTTTGTAGAGCTGGTGGTGCACGTGCTCAAGCGTTTTATGATTTGGCAGCTGTCTTGCCAAGAATCTTTCCCAGTACAGCTTCCATATGGCTAGATCTGTTTACTGCCCATATATCAGATGGATATATGCAAGCTTTATATTTGTAAAATAATGCACACTGTTGTAAATCCTAACAGAGAAATGTCTTTACTTCCAGATGTCATCAACTGTCAAAACTTAGGTCATCTGCAGCCACTTAAACACATCTTTTCTGGACACTCATGCTACGACAAAACAAAATGTTTATTTTGGGCAGCTTTACCACCCTCTAAAATTTTCACAGATATATGACAGACATCTCCCTGTATATATACGTGGTAACGAAAATTTTTTTTGCAATTTCTGATGACATTGGAAGAGTGCACCCAACATAAAAATAGTCATCAAACCTGGCAATGAAGTGGTTAGGATGGGAGTCCGGATATTGACCAAGAGTATAAAAACGCATTGCATTGGTACTTCAAAGATAACTTACACAGAGACTGATTGAAATGGATGCATCAAAGACGCTCGTTCGGAGTTGTTTGCTGTATGATTTTAAAGTGGGCCTCCAGGAGCAGAATCAAGTTGCTGAATTTGCCAGACCTTTTGGGATGATTCCATTAACGAACCGCTGGGCAATAGTTCCAGAAGTTCAGGTCAGGAGATATGTCTCTTAGTGATACACCATGCAGCGGTCAGCCAAAAGCGCTGGGCGATGAGACCCTGAGAGCAGCCATAGATAGTTACAGTAGCCAAACATGTGGTGAGCTTGCTGCACACTTCCAGGTATCTGATGAAATGATCAGACTCCATTTTCAACACATAGAAAAGGCATACAAGCTGAGCAAGTAAAAGGTACCCCACTCACTATATGATGCAAATAAGCAACAGCGTGTCACTGTCTGTTTATTATTGCTTACTCGGCACCGCAGTGCATCCATATTTAATCGAGTACTCCCCAGTGATGAAAAGTGGGTCCAGTATGACACACCCAGGTGTTCCAGACATTGGTTGTCACCACGGGACCCTGTGCCTCACACCGTGAGACCTTCTCTCCACCCATGCAAGATCATGCTCTGTATCTGGTGGACCAGTTGCTAAGTGGTGCACTATGAGCTCCTGCCAGCGGGCCAAACCATCATGGCAGGCCTGTACTCACAGCAGTCGGAACATGTTCATGAGGCACTGATGCATTAAGAGCCAGCATTGGTCAATCGTAAGGGTGTACTCCTCCTTCATGACAACGCGAGGCTGCATGTGGCTCAGAAGGCCAGGGACATTACCCCATCCACAATACTCCCCAGACCTCGTGCCAACAGACTACCTCCTTTTCCATTCCTTGGAGAACCATCTTCGTGGGAAATCCTTCAACAACCGGCCAGATTTTGAAAAGGCCCTCACAAACTACTTTGCGTCCAAGGCACCTGAGTTTTGCCGCGATCGCATTGCACAGCTAGCCACGCGTTGGCAAAAGGCACTAGATGCCAATGGTGATTACTTTGAGGATTAGCAGTGATTATTATTTGTTTTATGACTTTTTCTATCTGGCTGTCCAAAACAGGAAGAACTTTTTTGGTTACCTTGTATATAGTGAACAATAAGTTCTAATAAACCTGGAGCTACAGCACATGCTGAAAATAGCTGTAATTTAGTAGTAAGAATTTAAAATTAAATTCCGATATATTCAGATACAGCAATTTGTATAAAACATTGATATTTTGGAGAATGTTGTTAGTTTTTACCTTTAAAAAAGAATTTTAAATAATGCTGTACTTTTTGATCAGATAAAACAAATGAAACATAAAAAACCATTAAAAAAAATTGGAAAATACCAAGAACAGGTAATACTGAAGTATATGTACATTCTGTGCATAAAAAAATGGAACAGTTCTACTTTTCTCGTTTTACTGGGCAAATGAACGAAATCAAATTTGCATTTAAAAATCGGACCTTTTCAGGAATGACAAAAATTGATTCCCCCCCATACTTTGATTCTACAACTTAAATTATATCTAAATATTAAATTTTATAAAATTTGGTAAGAAATATGCCAATAAATTAAAAAATTTATCTTGGCACACCTTTTTCAGTTTACACCAAGAATGATTGATTCACTTGGCAAAATTAATTTATGGTAAACTATTTTCCTTTTCCTTACATTGTGCATGAGCTGAAAAAAAGGTGCATCATTCATTCTATCAAATAATTTTAACAAAGTGTGTAAACCACATTTAGCATTATCATCGTGTATAACAAATATGTCAAATTTCGAAACTAGCCAATATATAAATTTCCGCATATCTTGGGGAGTGTTAAATAAAAATTTTTTGTAGGTATGGTTTTGCATGAAAAACTTCTACTTTAAAGGTAAGGGGGGGGAAGGGCAAATCAATTCAGAAAAAAGTCTGATTTTGTGTCAAAATACCTAAGTTTGATCAATGCTACATATAAATTTAATACATATTCTAAGTTGCACTTTCCAGACATGAAAAATGCAACTTAAATTTCATCAGTCGACCCAGTAGAACAGTTGATATACAGAATTGTCTCTCTCTTTTTTTTTTTGCAAAATGTACCTGTGGCAAAATTATCTAAAACAAAAATGATGATTTCTTTATATTAGCAAAAGAAATGGTTAATTTGTCAATTAGATTAATATTTCTAAATGGAAAATTGAAGAAAGACATCTATATCAAACATTCTGTTAGCAATTACCATAGTTTACGACCAGATGGCGTCATGACCATTCAAAACATTTGTAATAAAAAATGAGAGACAAAGGATATAACCATGCAGCAGAGGCTATGAATGACTTACACATTTGTAAGGATAAAATAAAGTATCTTGTTGTTGGTTGTGCATCTCTGTCCTAAATAATAACTAGAAGGGAAAAAAAAAAAAAAAAAAAAAAAGGAGGGGGGATATAAATATAAGAGAAAAATTATAAGGCTACCAATCCTGATGGTATTACTTAAAAAAAAATGGATATGTTTTTATAGTTCAAAAGATCTTTGTATAGTCTTAAGAAGACATCACATTACAAGAAGGATATATTTTAAAATTCCTGCAAGAACAAGGTTTTAAAGGATTTAAGAGTGATTTTCAGATGTACGCTAAGTAAGATGTAACTGGTTATTTATATATTCTTGTTAACAGGGAAAGAAAATGCTATTAATGAAGTATCAATTCTGCTAAAGAAAGAATTTAATACAAAAGATCTTGGACAATAAAGCAAGTATTTAGGTATCAAATAACAAAACTATGAATGCAATAAAAAGAAAATGACATAAAATAATTAAGAAAATCTTACAAAGATTTAACATGCAAAACTGTAAAGGATAAAAAAAAAAAAAAAAAAAAAAAAAAACCCTCTGGATTCTAATATCACACCAAATTCAACTGATGAAAGTATTTACAATTTGTCATGCTGTGGAATGTGCAATATGTCCAGCTATTTCATTTTCTGTACCTTATCTTAGTCGGTATTTAGCAAAAATAGCTTTGAGATATCTGAAAGAAACAGATTTAGCATTGCTATGCAAAAAAGGAAAATAAGGATCAGAAGTATTTTCAGACTTATACTGGGCTGGTCATGAGCCAACAGAAAAAATATTTCAGGGGTGTAACATTCTCTATGGAAATACAGTGTGCTGTGGTTTGCAAGAAAACAGAACTGTGTTACCATATCATCTTGCAAAGCACATTGCTATATCCATATTGTACAACTGAATATAGAATATTTTCTATTTTATGACCAATTCACAGATTAAAAATTCTTTTATTGAATAGTTAAAATTTTAAATTTTTACAAAGACTTACACAAATAAAATATTTAATACCCAAAGGATAAATTTTTATCCAAATTGATGACTAATAACATTGCAAAGATTAAATAAACTGTGAATAATAAAAAGAATCAAGCTCAGATAGTTGACATGAATATATAGTAAGTGAGTATCAAACACTAACTTCTCTCTTAAGTTTAAAAGGTGCAAGGCTTATGAACAAAAACTTTATAAATGAAAATTAAGCAGATATAGATCCATGTTAGTCTCTCTCAAAAAGCATGGAGATTTTCTATAAAACCGTGCATCTGAAGTTGAACTTTAGTTTGAAGTTTAATTTTAAGCTCAATATTGCATGCTTTTCTTTTATGTATTAATATTTTTAATCTTTATTCATATTAAAGATTAAGTACATGGGATTTATGGTTTTATGAAAACAAGTATAAAATCTGAGACAACGAAGAACATTTCTATTAATTATTGTTCAGAAAGACATTACTATATTTCCAGAAAATCTTCAAATACTTTTTCCCAGCAAAAACTTTGAACATAAACAAATATTTCAGATAAGGTTTTATTGCATTTATGACCATGAACACTTTTGTAAAAATTAATTGTGAAAATCAAAAATAAATATAATACTATACTTTGCAAATATTTAGTATGAGCCACTGAAATGGCTGAGACTCTTGAAAACTCTCTTGCTTTCTCTTCTTCCATGAATTTTTTTCAGAGGCAGCTGTGGTAGGAGACTCATTCAGTGGAACACACAAGACATCCATATATTTTTGAAACCATATTATCCAATCTTCAATATATTTTACAGCTTCATATTTTTCCTACAAAAGGAAAATTTAACAATATTCAGAGAAAAATAACGAAAATGAAACTGTTTTCATAACAGTTTTGATAAAATAACTCTGGATAAAATACCAGTTATTTTATTAATTGTGACAAAATATGTGAAGGCTTCTAAAATGGCTGTCTTCGTGAAGGATTTCTATAGTTTATATTCATATTACACATTGGAAAAATCATGAAGACTACACACAAACAAGTTAAAATAATTAAGATATAATCTAGATCAGGGTTGGGTATACAGTTTTAACCAAAAAAGCCAAAAAAGCCTTTTTTACTGCATCATATGGACAGGCCCACCAAAGAGTGCAATGGTACTTGTGCAACAATCTTCTGCAGTGCCCTTATTAATTATCAGGAATGGGAGAAATACGGCCTTTTCCAGTAGAATAAATAAATAAAAAAATACATTTTAAGCACTTTATATTTTTTACTTTAAATAAACCCTAGATAGTGAACACTGGAGACACCACAGCTTTACAGATGGGCGACCAATGAAATATTAAATGTATCAAAAAATCTAAAACACACACAAAAGGTTGGGGAAGGAGGGCATCAATGAATAATAATACTTTTTAAAAATTTACAGTTTTGCATGCATTATTAGTTAATACATACTTAATGTGAGATGTGAAATCTTGAATGTTTGGTCTCAGCTAGGTTGATTGGCAGTATAGTCATGTGTATAGATGAACATTTGTTGTGCACTTGATTTAATAATGGGTCAATTAAGCAATTAAAAGAGTCACATTCAGCATTACATTGATATTCACATTTGTATTGAGCCCTGATGAACAGCAAACGCATGTCTGGAGTAATTTAGGACAGCCATAGGATACTCACCTGACTATAGTCTGAAACACAGACTGACAAACAAAAGTTATGGTATAGGGTGTCATTTTATTTGATAGCCAGATGCCTATGGTTGTCATCTGTGACACTTGGTGCATGGTGATATGTCAATGAGATTCTATGCTCTACAGTGTTGTTCTTCCTTTCACAGACCGCAGGACTTACATTTCAATAGAATTAATGCCCAGCTGCAAATGCTACACCTTTCCACTGCTTGTCTTCAGCAGTCTCGCAGGAAGTCATTGCCCAGACGGTTAACTGCTTGCATGTCAGAGGTGGGCCAACACATGATTAATTTTTCCCTTCCTCTTTTATAGCTGCATTTTCTGAATAAAGTATTCCATTCCTATGATACTGTTAGCATTTTGTTTTCAATACATGTATATCACATCTCAGTTACCAATAATCAAGTGGCAAAATCCATTGTTCAGACAGTTACTGTCTGTGCAGAATAACTCTTTTTTTTTTTTTTTTTTTTAAAAAAAAAAGAAATAGAATGGCTGTTTGCTCATCTGTTGTCAAATCTCAAATTCATTAAAACCCATTTTAAATAAATAAAGAGGTTAGTTGGAATGTGTTTACATCAGGAAAGACATCAAACCATACTGGTGATACCTGTCCCCAATGAAATCTCTCAAACAAAAGAGGTTATGATGGAATATGTGAAGATAGGAAAGAAATGCTAAGTGAAGATGATATAACTAAACTCTTCCTTGTGACAATAATGTTCCAATCATTAAACAATCAATGGAAAGCATACATATGTAGTATGATTTTAAAATTGACTATTTAACTAGAATTTCTGAGATGGAAGTTACAGGGCCTTACGAAAAAAAGAGAAGCTTTGTAATTAACAAATTATACCTCTCCATAAAATTAGAGAAACAGATACAAAAAATGAAATTCCTGAAACAACTTACATTGAAAAAAAATGTTTAATAAAACAAAATGAATGTCAACAACAAACTTTTTAAACGAAATTTCAGTTCTCTTAATGTCATAAATGTTCAATATTTACAAACAAGCCTTTCATGTCACCTTACTACAGTTAAACTGACAATCTATAATCTGGAAATTTTCTAAATGTAGAATCGATGAAGTCCCAATGATTTTGGATCTCAGCCTTTGTATTGCTTACTGTAAAACTATCTTCATAATCATTATTGACACTTATTTCACTAAGACACCCATAGGACAAAACCATCTGAATGCTCATCTTAGCCAGGATTTGCTTTTTATATGTGTAATGTACACTCAAACACATTCATTGGATGATTAAAAATATGACAAATAAAAGTAAGAAAAGTTCATACACAAGAAACAATTATATATATATAATAAATAGTAGGCAGAATTTTTAGAGATACATTACATAAAGTGGGAAAAAAAGTTACATTTTCATGAGGTTAAAAATACAGAAAAAACATACTTCACCATGCAGAAGAACAGCAATTGTCAACAGAGCAATGCATAAATCTTTTAAAAAGGCCCATTCTGCACTGTTAAGTAGCTTTGTTTCCAACTCTTCAATTCTTTTCTAAAATAACAAAATACATAAAACAACAGCAATTTAAATCAAATGCAACAAATATTTTTCACTCTTCTGACAGAAAAATAAATAGAATAGTTATACAGCCTTCAAACTGAAAATATCTCACCTTTAAAATATCTGTAAAATTCAAAAAATCTTTCAATTCATCACAATTAGATTTCAAGAGTGTCTTTTGACAAACATAACTGTTTAACACTGCATTCATTAACTGAGCAGATAACTCAGGTTTGGGTAGATAAATTACTTTATCTGAAGTGATTTTTTCACATATGTCACTTAAATTATCCTGTTCACATTTTTCATTTGAACTGTCATATCCACTTGAATCACTTTTTCTGGATCCTCTTGTATTTCGCTGCAAGAAATAAAGAGTGTTGAAGAGACATTTGGCCAATTACGATAAAATAACAAAATTACAGTTACTCATTAAATAGCACTTTAAATATTCAACACTTCATAGTTTTCATAGTTGTTGTTTTTGAAGTTTTGACTATGAAGGTTTCCAGATTTCATATAAAATTATTTCATTGATTTATTCCAATTTACAGCTAACTGCATACACATGATTGTCAAACTCACAGAATAGTCAAGGAAATGTTGAGGTGACTGTACAAATATCATATGTTACCCCACGGCCATCAGTTTCCTTTTTATTTTCTGTGAAAAGAAGTATTAATCCCTCAACCACCACCACTAGTTTTAGCTACAAATAAATTCATATTTTATACAGAAAATGCCATATATTCAAGAAACAAAACTTTTAATTATAGAGAACTTTAAAATTTCAAATTTTAAACTTAAAAATTTTAGAGAACTGTTGCAAAGATATATTAAATAAAATGAAGAATGCCACATTACACAGCTTTCACATAAATTACAGAAGCAGATTACTGACACTCAGCTTCAGAGCTGAACAAATTACATTATAACTTCCTGAAAATATGCTAATACTTCTTTCCCCCCAGTTTAATCCATCATTTCCACAATAAATACATATCTCACAAATCTGCAATATTACATATCTGCATATCTCCATCAATGAAAGTAAATTTATTTTTTTCAAAACTTCCAAAATTACATTTTTCAAATATACAGTCACGAATTTTTCTTCTGGATTCTTTGAATTTAATAAGCTAAATGTTATTTTAACAGTTTAACACAAATTATTTAAAAACCATGTACATATACCAAATTTATTCACATTCGTCAAAATCCCTATAAGCCTTTTTTTAGAATTCTCTAAAAATATTTCAGATTATTCATTCAGAATTGTTACAGCTAATTTTCAAAGAAATTCTTAATAATAATCATGGTACAGACTGCTGATTTTTTGGTCATTCTATCCAAAATATACCAATTCTGAGGGTGGAAAGGGGGAGGGGAGAGAAGCCTACTCTTTCTCAGTTCCAAACGAATTAGGAATGCATGCTCATATTTAGTGATTTACTAATTATACACTTATGGAAAGTTTAATAGCACTATTTAAATATAAAATAGTAAGTAGAATAAACTAAAGCAACTAATTTAATAGATAAATGCTACTGCCAGCTCATTAAATATTGGGATAAAAGATTGGATGATTGAATTAACAGTAAAATAGAAGCTACAACTGTCTCATGGTTTCAAGGAATTACAACAGAGAATATTGCAATAAATACAACTTTGCTAAAAGAAACAGATTCTAAAAATGATTTAGGTAAACAACTGATATTTAAGAATGTTTTTGGAAAAAGTCTCCGAATAATTAAAAACTGTGAAAAGCATACACACTAAACATAGTGAAATTGGATACAACTTAAAGCAATTAAAGTCAATTTGATGAAACCTTTTGAAACCTGGGCTTGGTACAAAAGAAAACAAACACTCCTGGCTGGTGGAAGATTACCCATGATCAAAGATGCAATTTCAACTGAATCAAAAAGTGGCAAAAATAGCATGAAAAAATATAAAACAAAATTAATGCAGAATCAACTGAGGAACAGAAAGAAATTTTTTCAAAAAAAACTATTAACAGGTTAGAAAAACCTTTAAATGGTATTTTATTGAAAAAATATTTCAAAGGTTTCTTTGAATGAAAAAAATAATGAATATTATTTCCCAAATAATAAATTGTGAAGCAATTTCCTAAGCATATCATAATTAGAATTTATTTCTTGAATTGCAAGAATGAGACCTTTTTGGATTATTATTAAATAGCAAATACATACAAAATTTATGTTATGAGAGCAAAAAACAAAGAAAATAAAATTCTAACTTTAATTTGTTATAGTGTCTTTTTTTTTTTTTTTTAAACATCTTGCCTGAAAAGCGACTAAAGTCATTTTGTGCAAGGGCAGTTAACGATAAAAGTTGTTTTCTATGAGCTGCATGCCATTAACACAGCACGCATTTCTTGATTGCCAAGATCCCGTAATTTTGAAAATACTTAATAATGTTCCAATGAAAGCAAATTCCAAATTTTAATAACTCTTTTCCACATAAAAAAAGTGCAAGGGAAAAACAAATAAATAACAGTTAACAGTTAATCATCCTTTCCAAAAACTAAACTGGCCAACTAAGAATCAGTCCAGTTTAGAAACAACCAAGGTAAAGATTTTATGATTGCATAGTGACGTCATGCTTATCCATTGTTGGCACTAAGCCATACTGTTTCGTGACAGGTTTTGCTTGCTGAAAAATGGTCAATGTGAAACATATTGGTGAAAGTAGTTCTCGTGATAAACAGACTAAATGCCTGATGCAAGTTTCGGAATCTCTCATATATTCTTGTACTATACTAACTCCTCACTTCTTTATTTATGAACAGAATCTAGTTCCAAGAATGAATTCGACTGAAAGGTATGTTATTAACATTTGAAAGAGAGACATGTAACTGTGTTCCTATTTGAAATACTGTAAATGATATTTTTTGTTGCAGTCATATATGTAATTTATAATAGCTTTACAAATCTCTTATTTGCTGAATCTTTCTTCCTCCCCCCCCCCGAAAAAAAAGCTAAAATTTTAAAATATTACAATTACTTGAATGTCAAATAGTCAAGATTTTACTGTATATGAAAAACAAATACTTACTTATGTTAATCACAGCACAAGTTTAAATGAAAAATAAATATGATAAATAGTTTTGTTTTCATTTTAACGTGTGCTGATTAACATAAGTAATATAATCTATAACCAAGGAATTTAAATAAAAAGAAATAAAATTTTATAACATACTCTTTTTGATGGTAGAGGTGATGGTGGTGTCATTTTCCACTTCTGTAGTAATCCAACTTCAACCCACTCTTGTATCAAGTTTAAAAGTTGCAAACCCTGACCCTGGTTACACAAACATTCTAATAATGTAATGTAATCATCATATTCTGCATCTGAAGGCAAAGTTTTGAGTCTATAGAAACATAAACTTCCAAGTGTCGGAACAGAGCATGCAGGCATAAAGCTACTGAGGATATATATAGATCGCCATTCAGGAGAATCCTAAAAATAAATTAATATATCCACATCTTCAATTAAAGAAACACCATAACATACTCATACTTCTACATAGCAATATTTATAGGTAATCACTGATTAAATTTGTCATATAATTTTCATACAAATATGAAATAGGCAAATCCAATTATGTTCCATTGATTTTCATATCAATCAAAATTGCAATAACAACCTTGTATTTAGCGTACATATATTAAAACACTCAATCGATTTCGAGGGCAGCTAAAGGCCCCTCTTTATCAGGAGAATGAAATTACAAGAAAGGGGAAAAAGAAGAAAAATAAAGCACCGGCAAAGGAGTCTCAGAAACACGTGGTCGTAACCGTATTTTGAATCAGAGTTATACTGGCGTCCTACTTTTACTGAGCCAGGCTATCTGATCAAACATATAACACATAAGCTAAAACGGGAAAAAAAAAAAAAAAAAAAAAAAAAAAAACCAGCGAAGTCAAAAAATACGGAATGTGGGGCAACTGCACCTTCACACACCAAGTCTGAACCTCGAATAAAGGGAAAGCAACCTCTGTAACGGCTTTTTATATCCTCCGGTAGTACCATGCGTGAGGAGGCAACGCCATCTATCGACAAAAATAATAACCAACAATTATGTTAATAGAATTTTAAAAGCATTAGGAAGGGTCTGGATTGGACTTAAAATCATTCACTAAGCATGCTAAATCTTTGTGAATATGAAAAGCCTCAAGAAAATCCAATTCACCAACGGAAGAAGCTTTTTGGATAATTTTTGCAGATCCAAAGTCAAAATTATGATTAAATTTCCAAATATGATACGCTATTGAATACTTGTTAATTTCGCCTTTTCAAACATAAGATTCATGTTCCTTGATATGAAACTTTAACACTCTTTTTGCTTGGCCTCAAGAAATAAAGCCACACCAACACAATATACTATAAATTCCCGAAGAATTAAAGTCAGAAATGCAATCTTTTAGAATTGAACCATGAATGTTATTGATAGGGAAGAAATTGACTTGAAAATTGAATTCCTGGAGAATCCGTGCAATTTCATAGCTAACAGACGGATAAAATGGAAGCACGACAAGGTCATTAATATTATTTCTAACAGTGGAATGTCTTCTTTGATGGGAATCTGAAAATTTTTTAACGGCTTTATCAATGATCACGGGAGAAAATCCTCGGTCAATAGCAATTGCTCTCAAATAATTAAGTTCCTTGCTAAGCAAAGAGTCAGAGGAACAAACTTTGAGCATGCAAAATACATGATACAGTACAAAGTCCGTAATCCGGACTCATTGGGACTTCGGCAACTATGATCTAAAAGGTATCAAATTTTACAAAAAAAAAAAAAAAAAAAAAAAAAAAAAAAAAAAAAAAAAAAAAGGAAGCTTAATATTTATTTGTTTATTTTATTAAACATTTCTTTCAATGCGCACATGCGTAAAGCATAGTAATTTCATTCTCCTGATGAGGAGGGACCTTTAGCTGCCCTCGAAATCGAGTGAGTGTTTTAATATATGTATGATAAATACAAGGTTGTTATTGCGATTTTGATTGTCACATTGGCATGTTTCTCTTCTTTTCTTTCATATCAAATTATTGCAAATATGGGACTTAAAAAATATTTAAACAAAAAACACAAATGGGTCATTCCATATAAAATGAGGGAAAAAGAGGATATGGTTACATAGCAGCCAATTTTTATCAAATTGGGTATACAAGTTGAATTCATACAAAGCCATACAAAATATTCTGTTCCATTTTGGCAGTTCTAGACTTTTACAAAATCAAAGCACTTCCACAGAAAAATGCTAAATGTAAACACTGCCAAAATAGTGTAAATGTGGCTATGTTTGTCTATATCGCAGATTTGCCTAAAATTTCACATTCTAGTTGTTCTAACTTGCTGGCCATGATAAAATCACAGACGCGGTAACATACATGGTCAGAATAGCACCAGCTCCACAGTTCTTGACGTCTCTTGGCACATTGACTTATGTAGGCTGATGGTCCCTGTGCCTCTGTGTGCAGCCTTTCGCTGCCATCCGTTGCCATGTTACACAACTGCCTCAAAACCTTCTCATACCACCTTGTATAGGGGCAGCAATTTTCCTGCGAAAGTTGATAGGTTCAACGTTTCTTACCCACAGAAAACAGATGACTGTACAAACCTTTTACCTTGATTGCTCATTTAGTACCATTATGATTTTAAGAATGGCATAGAGGAGAGATTCTATTTTCCTCATCAAGTAAACTCATGAGTATATATCTGCCAGTCATGCTAAAGCTAGCAGTACATTCTGACCCGATTTTTAATAATAAATTAGACAAACTTACTTTAAATTTAATTATACTTTATTTATCTTAACATTACTGTTTATCAAATTAAAATTGTATTGTTTAATATTATTAACTTGAGTACGATGGGTATTCCTCAAAACGCTGATTGCGACTAATTTCAGATTTCGAAGAGATGAATCAATTACAAAGTCACAATTCGAAATACTGCTGCTTTCATTATGTTTTGTTCTTTGCATATTGTATTTTGTAACTACATAGTTGTCAATCTTGAAACACGAAAACTGAGATTTTATAAGTAAAAACTAGGAGTTCCCAGAAGGTTTTTGTATTAACTTTTATTTGACCATTAAAAAAACTTAAGCACCATTAAAAAAACTTAACTGACTTAAATTCAATCCATAATGCATAATTTATTTATTTGAATATTATTAGTATAGTGTAAAATATATTAATTTTTAATAAGATACTTTAAATTTTATGTCCTTTAGCTAATTTCATTTAATAATTTTCTTAGATTTCTATATTGAGAAAATCCTGAGTTGGGAAGAAACACTTTAATTGATTGAAGTACTTTTAAATACAATGAAAATAAAATTAATAAATAATGTACACACTGTTGGGTAGATAAACTCATTAATGTACTATATATTGATGTAAATCAAAATTAAATACAAACACTAACTGACTAACTGATTAAAATTGGTTGAACTTTCATGTAAAGTTCTGCAAATATCTACGGTGGATTAAAAAAATTCAGGTCAAATAAAAGTTAATAAGAAAAATTGTTTTGAAAATCATTAGGGGTGGAGGATTGGCATTTGCATAATTTAAGTTTGATTAATTCAAATTTCATTCACTGCTGAAAAACACATTACTTAGTAAATGCTAAAAGTTTAAAACCAGGAGATTCGGTTGTTTAACAGAGATATGATGAAAAACAGGAAGAGCTGGCAGCTGCCAGCTCTTCCTGTTTCCATAGCTGTAAAATTTACTGTTTACATAGCTATGTAAATGGTATAAGGGAACAGATAACATAAAAAGCATAATTTAATGTTCATGCACCTTACTTATATGTCACTTATTTATCTATATGAATATTGCACTTAAAATTGTTTTTAATAATGGCTCCTATTTGAACAGAAAAATATATGTTTACTTTAGCAAACTTAAATGAGTTTCAGTAACGTTAAATGGGAACAGAAATTTACTAGTTGAGAAACTGGAAGAAGCAACAAGTTTTGGGTAAATAGTTAAAGCAACCTTAATTTGTCAATGAGCTACCTGGTACCTGAGAAACAATACAAATTATCATATAACAATGTAATGAATGAATAGTTTATGATTGAACTTAAAAGCACAAAGAGCTGGCTAGCCCTGGTTTAGATCATAATCACTTGCTGATGGATTAGAAAGTCATTATGAAATTAGATGCAACAAAAGCAATGTAAATGTTAGTCTAGCTTTCTTATTATGTGGAAGAGATAATCCAAATCATCAAGTCCATGCTGGAGTGACTCTTCATTTAAATCAGTGGCAGCCAAATTCAGTACCCTCAAAGACCAATTTAAGTTATGTTGTGAGGCTGTAGGATGCACATATGTTGTAATTAGGGTAAGGTGACCAGGCGTCCCGCTTAGTCCCGATTTTCAACAATTTGTCCCGAAACGTTTTAAAAGTCCCGATTTTTGGAAAGAATGCACAATAAGTTAGGGAACGGTGGGAGTATAAGGTTTTCAGCTGCCATGTGGCTACTTCGCCAGGATATATGTCTTATATTCTTTTTGTTAATTTTATAATGTTACATTTTAATAATAACAAATAATTGTTTACAACTGATTGAGAACTGCTTATCAAAGTTCGCATTGTTGATCAGTTGTTAAAATTCGACCACCGTTGTTTGGACTTAATGGCATCGGCATCGACAAAAAACATTTTGTAACTGTCTCTCAGATGACACATCGTATTGCGTTCTAGTGCTAGTTAAACAAGTGATGCCAACAAGTCTGCTATGCAGATAATTTAGGTACGTAATCAGTGGCGGCTCGTAATAAGCACTGTGAAACTGCAGCACCCCCCTATGTCCACTTATTATTTTTAATATTTAATATAGTGTGCCCTTTAGTCTTTAATTCTTTCTTTATACTTTTACAATACATAAACCTTTAGCTTAACGTCAGTAGCCATCCCCCACTTTGTGAAAAAGGTACGAAAGTCTTTGGAACTGCGCGTTTCACAGTTCCAGCAATGTGGTGCTTGGCTGTTCTGCGCATGCGCACACAAAAACCAGCATGCGAGCTGGGTAGAGAGAAGAGCACTGTTGCTCTTGCAGAGCTGAAATTCTGGCATGTTGCTGAAAATGTGATTTCTTTTTACTCCGCGCGTGTGGTATTCCTCCACAAGGTGGAATTTCATCATACGAACCATAAACAGAGCTCATGAAAATTTGCAACTTTTAAAAAATTGCCTTACGGAAATTCAGTCAACATCAAATGCAGATCAAACTATTGCAAAAGCAACAGGAATTTTAAAATATCTAAATGATGATAATTTCAAGTTTTGGTTAGAGATTTTTTATCAGATACCTCATGTTGAAATAATATACAAGTAAATGCAATCCAAAGAAATTAGAGTGCTTAAAGTTCTCAAAACTGCTATTTTAGAATTAAGAAACTCAAAGTACTGTAAGAATTTTTCAAAGACACTGG